ATCTCTGTCGTTTCCAGTAGTCTTTGTGTTGTGGCTGTGACGGGTATTGTTTCTGAGCCATATGTCATTATTAGTCTTATTCTGGCTTTATAAATTCTTGACCTCATCTCAGTGTTAATGTGTATGTTTCGCCATATAGTGTTATTAAGGCATCCTGCCAGTCTATATGCTTTTTGTACTTGATCTCCCACGTCTCTCCCAGGTCTCTATAGCTGTACAGTGTAATTTCAAGGTATATTATTTCCACTACTTGTTCAATACTGATGCCATAAACTTATTTTACATCTGGTTGGTTCTTTGCTGATTACTATTAATTACTATTTAAGTTTTCAGAGATAAGATTGTCATATTAAATTCTTTTGATCTTATGTTAAATCTGTGAATTAATCTTTGCAGACGATATTCATGTTGGGCTATCAATATCGCGTCTTCTACGTAACAGAGTATTTTTACTTCTTAGTTACCCATTCTGTATCATCTTCCTTTGTTATCGCTTTTGGTGATTTTATCCATGTCTAAATTGAAGAACATAAAGCTCAATGAGTTCCCATGTCTTATTCCGCTGCCTATTTCTATAGGTTCTGTAAGTTGTCCATCTAATTTTAGTTCCATTTTGTTGTTTTGGTAGATGTTTTCAATAGTCTTTATAATATTTACGGGAACTTCTCTACTATACAGAAGGTGGATTACATCTTTGTAGCGATATCATGGTGTAATACGTCGAAGATCAATGCTGAATTATCCCTCTGCCAGGTCTCATTCTTTTGATGAGATGAATGCAAGTGCTCATATTTTTTATTAACTAATTATTTTATTTATTTTATAGTTATTTCAATAACTAATTATATGTTCAAAATATGACATTTTTGACTGATGGAAAGAATAGTCAGATTGAATTTGAGGAAAATTTAAAAATTTAATAAGTAACGTTAATATTAACAAAGCATTGTATGAAAACGGTTACGGGAAATACAGAAAGATAATCAAATAGAAAAACAATACGGAATAAAATGAAGACGAAAAGAGGAAGAAACTGAGAAAAACTATGTTAGATTTTTTTCTATAATTTTTAACTTTCCTTATCCAGCGCATCCACCAGATCTGCAAGTAAATTATATAGTATGACATTTGGAGTAAGCCAATACAAAAACACACACCGTACATCATATAAGCGAATTGACATACACAATAAGCCAATTGGCTGCAGTATAATTGGTTCATACAGTCGATACATGAAATAAAAAAAACGACGATGATGAAACAAGATAAAAAATCAAATATTTTGGTTTTTTATGAAAATACGTTTGATGGATCAATTTTATTGGCCGTAATTATTTAAGAACAATAATAAAACAAAATGGATATTAGTCAAATTTAACTAAATGCTTCAATAAAGCAAGAAGAATTTGAAAGTTGCAAAAACAAATTCTTCAAATAAATGGCAAAACCAAAATTAGTCAAAATTAAAAATGTACAAATATAAAAAAAATATTTATTTTCGTTATTTCAAAGTTAACTGAGATAGTTGGAATATAAAGGCCATTAAGAAGAAGCGTTCCAAATTAAAACGAGATACGGACAAAGAAATACACATACGGAAAACACTAAAGAACACGCGAAAAAAAAAAAGGAAATGCGACAGCAATTCAACAGATATTATCTGTAAAGATAGTTGATAGAAAGTTGCCTTTTTTGTTTATTGTAAACATAGGTAACCTGACTGCAATATACCAATAATTTTGAAGAAAAAATGATTTTACTAATGCTGGAATAAACTTTAAAACAAAACTTGGTAAAAAACATCGACTGATACTTTTCCTGTCAATAGTGCTGCAATTACGTTAAATATTCAACACGCGAAGTTAGTTTCCACCCAAATGTTTTCAATACTTTATATCATTGCAGTAGGTAAACGATCTACGATCCTTCTCTAAACGGCGTGAAGCAACAATAAAATGACTCATTATCATTAAAATTATAGCAGTATCGACCATTCTTTCTATGCAGCTGTAATGAATTAAAAATGAAGTCCATTAAAAAGATAAATGCGTGACACATATACAGTGACCGGACTCAAACTAAAGAACGTGCTAAAGTTCAATGAATAAAACGGATGCACAGCAGGAAGACGTGTGTAATTATATTCTTTTATTACTTTGGGAAATGTAAAGGGATAAAAGCATATAAATATAGTTTTCTCTACTCGTACATTAGGAAGAAACAGTTAATTCACAAATAAGATTGCACTTTTACTGTTCGAGTAATTTTTAGAACGTTAGTTCGAGTTAAAACGACCCCCGAAATTTTCGAAAATTTTATTTGTTGACCCAGTTGATATATTTACACTGATAATGACCGATATGTCCCTAGTTTACATAATAAATATGTAACTAGCTATCTTGTATCTTCCCCTGAAGCTATTTTTATGTGGCATTTTAAATTAATTACTATTTAACTGGGAATAAGCCACAATTAAAGATAAAAATACGTTTGACGTTTCAATTTCCACTTCGGAAATCCTTTCGGAAAGATTTCCGGAGTGGAAATTGAAACGTCAATAAACGTATTTTTATCTTTAATTGTGGCTTATTCCCAGTTAAACAGTAATTAATGTAATATCTTCGTACCAAACATTATCCGTTCATTAAATTTCACCATGAAGTCTTGGGCTAGTTTGCCCTCCAGAGTTCTTTATTCGTTTTTGAATAGTTTTGAATTTCATTTCTAGCAGAACTTTTTGTGATGACGCCTGAGAATAGTTTAGTAGATTAAATAGAAAAAGATAATTGATGATGGATTTCAATAGGCTTCCGTTGCTGACAAAGACGGAGAAGGATATAAAGATCACGAAAGAATTTCTGTGTAGCTTATTAGGCACATAGATTATTAACTTTATTAAGTTAAAACACATTTAGATGGTACTGATGCGTTCATGCCGTTGGAATATTCTTGCATATCTAAACATAATTAATAGCAAATGTAAAGAAATAATTGGCCAAGATCTGTTTGGGTGCAGTAGATGCCTTGAAACTAGAGAAGCACTTTTTTCTACGTAAGAAAACCCTTATAATGTGGTTCATTGATTTTGAAAAGACAATTGATGGCGTATAGCATATGAAATTAATTACCGCCTTGCTGAGTATCGAACTAGATGACAAAGACATCAAACTTTACTGGAACCAAACTGCCACCATTAGTAAAAAACAACAGAAAATCGAAGCCTATCAGTATTGAACGAGATGTAAAACCCATCTTCTTTAACGTGTATTTCAAAAATATATTTTGGATTCAAAGTTTCAAAAAAGAACTATCATAGGAGAAGAAATAATTAACAATATACGATACATCGACAATACTGTGATTCTAGCTGAAAACATGGACGACCTGCAAGAACTAATCAACAAATTGCAGAAATTGGGGGTTGTTGATAAACATACACAAAACTAAATAAATAGTTACTAGCAAAGAGGATATCGGCCCAACCTAACTGGAAAGACTACAACGATTTAAGTACCTTGGATTTTGGATCACCCAGAATTTGGATCCGTCCTTCCCAACTCATTGAATGTGGAACTTCGTGAAAAATTTACAAGATGCTATGTATGGTCGGTACTTTTTTATGGATATGAAACTTGGACTTTGAACGTCGATACCATGAATAAAATAAGGCGTTAAAAATGTGGTTGTATCAAAGAAAACTCAAGATAACGTGGACCAGCAGAACTAGAACCAGAAACGAAGAAGTTCCTCGAATAATAGTACAACAACGAACATCATTAAAATACGTAAAATCGAATATATTGGGCATATAATCAGGGGATCAAGATTTGAGTCCTTTCCGCTAATTTTAAATGGTAAAATTGAAGGAAAGAAGCGGGAAGGTGGAAGGAACTCTCCAGGTTAAGAAATTTGCGATAGTGGAGATGTTTAACAGCAGACCAATTTGTTACACGTATTCCAAGACCGAGATCAATATAAAAATATTGTAAGCATAGTAGTTGCCGACGTTCCTAGAAACAGGGCAACTTGAGAACAAAAAGAAGATTAATTCATTTTGGTATTTGTAGTGCTTATCAACTTTTTTGCTTTGCAGCTCATTTGTTCTAAACATCAAGATAGCAATACAATTTTGCATAATTCTTTGCTTCTAAAATTTATATAAGACGTAAGAACACCACAAATATACATTTGTAGGTACTTTTATAAAATATGCAGTGCTTGTGTAGGTTTATGCACATGTATGTATGTATTTTGTGTTTGAGTGCGTGTTTGCGTGTGTTTGTGTGAGCGTGTGTCATATTCTCAGTTGATCTGCAGGTGTTTATTGGGTTATAAATTATTCAAATATATCCTATTCACCTATTGTATTGTCCTAATAGCGAATCTATTTGCCTTGGCAGGAAAACTTCCAATGAAACACCAACCGAAAGGCATAAAAAAAGATAAACCCAAACTACACAAAAGACAAATAATAGGTTTTCTTTAATTTTGAACATTTTTGGGGGAGGGAATTTCCCTATTTTCGCCTGTATTGTCCTATACATGAGTAGAACGCTCTCTATTAGACATTGAGACGCGCTGTGTCGGCGGTGAGAACTTCCACACCCAGTCTGTCTTGAGCTGAGTACTCGATACCTACTCAATATTGTGTAAAAGTTGAGAAGGCGCACGGTATCGACAGTCAATTTGATGGAAAGGATGTCACTAAGTACCTATTAACACGAAAACAAAACTTTCAAAGATTTAGGTATCCTTGAATACACGTTAGAGAGTAAAGGATATTTGAGAGAAGCAATAAAGTAAAATACAAACAGTATTTACTAAAGACAATTAATATATATTCCTTTACATAAACGGGTAAATAAATAAAATTATATGAGACATATAGGATATTATACAAGTATATACTCTTCTATATAATTGTTTTTTTTTGTCATTTAATACTATTAAGTATTTTTTGTAGCTTTTCTAGAATTAAAACGTTTTCTCTTAATTTTCAGGTAGTTCCTGACCTGGACCTATTTAGACAAAACACAGCCGACGCCGAAGACATACGACTTCCTATTCCAAAGTGTTATTATGCCCATTATACGGCAGGTAAAAACTTTCTTCTTAATAAAAAATTTATTGTTATGTTCATCAAACCACAATAAAGCACCAATCATAAAAAGTACAAGAACCACTTACTCTCATATTAAAAGAACGAATCGAAACTTCCACGAAAGTGAAGGTCACATATTTGTGCTTAAAAAACATGGTTGCAAGGATGATGCTAGTTTTCAGAAAGAATGTGCATCTGAAGGCCTTTTGCAAGAAATGATTACTCACGAATTTTTTGTCTGAATTCCAACATAGAAGATATTGATTTTATTATACATTTCTACACAATCAATATTAAGCATCCATAAATATTTAACGTAAAAATGAATCAAATAAATAGAAAATTGCTATAGGAAGAATTTCTGCTAAAATTAAATCGAACATAATATCTTCGATTATTGTTACCAACTGATTCATTTATTTATGATTTACTTATTAAATGTTAAAAAATATATTATATAATTAATAATCTAATAACAAATACGATTCATTATCACCTCCCTATCCTGTCGACGCATTGTGTAGCAGAAGACCAACGGTGTATCTAACAAATTCCATTTTACGGGAATCACCAAAAATGCTAGAATATAGATAAAAAGAAATAAAACAATCTAGCGAATAAACAGAGAAAGAAAAGAATAGAGCAAAGTTATCAGTGAAATCAGCAAAAGCAAAATTTTAAAAGAAAGAGGAAAGAACTGGAAGGCAACGAGACAAATACGCCATTAGTCTGAAGATTCAAAAGAAATCTAAAAATATTTTGCACTCAATCTTTGGAGTACACGAGTAGACTAGACTATATTTTAAAATTTACTATAATCATTAACAGTTCATCTCGTAAATGATAAGAATAGAAGAGCGTGATAGAGGGCTTTTTTCTGTCTATCTAGCAATTTGTGGATAAAACCAACTGTTGGTTCCTCTGGTATATCCTCAGTGCTGCTGACATCCATATTGTGAAAGCATGTTTGAAACATGATTATGTTTACTTAGGAATCTTAATAGTTTTGGTCAAATGTGTTTTACCTGTGGACATGTCATCATACAAGTTACCCCTTTCGCTTGTAATTCCATAAATATAATAGAAAAGAAAATTGAATTTTCCCTTCTCGATTGTTTGATTTAATTTCTTCTTTTTGTTACAGGAACTAACGATCCAGAGCCGACTCCTCCCGAATCCGTCCTAGTTTTAGAAAACATTAAACCCTTAGGCTACAACAGCGCCGATTTTGCACGAGGCTTGACTTTACGTCAAACGAAATCAGCCGTAGAATCAATCGCTCAAATCCACGCCCTGTCTCTGTGCATCAAAGTGAAAGAAGGAAAACCTATTACAGAACGTTATCCGTTCCTGTTTCAAACAAACAGAGCATCTGACTCATACCAGCAGCTAGTAGAGCGTGGTCTGCCGCAATTATCTCAGTTTTTGGAACGGAGATCGGGCTTGGAAGAAGTGCTAGCAGCTTTGAACGAGCTTAGATCGCATACTAAAGATATAATTGAAAATTTGTTGGCGCCCGAAGAGCCTATGGCTCTTATAACCCATACCGATTTTTGGTGTAACAACCTTATGTTTAAAGAAGATGAAGATAATTGTATATGCGCAATTTTAGATTGGCAAATGGTGACTTATAGTAGACCAACGAACGATTTAGCTCTACTGCTCAATAGCAGCGTTCCAGCTGAACTGAGAAGATTACACACAGGGTCCTTATTGGATGGCTACTGGGTATCTTTGGTAGAAACTTGTAGGAAACTGAAATTAGACGTAGAGAACGAATTAGGTTATGACAGAAAAAAACTAGAAGAGGACTTTAAAAAGTCTCAACTGCTAGCTCTTTTACTATGCATAGGATCCGTCGATTTGGCCATCGGTAACGCACAAATGGAGGAGAGATTGTTAGAATTGCTGAAAGATCTATTCGAAGACGGCTTGCTCAACGCCGATGTAGCGGCCAAGGCTCAAAACTAAGTGATATTCGATGCTAAGATTTTTTTCATTCTTATAATACTCATTCTACGGAGTATTGGTTGTGACGTAGCGAAACGACCGTCATCTTGAAAAAATCAACTATCATTTTATTAATTATTATAATGTTTTATTGTAGTTATTTAGTGGCTTATTAAATGGTTATAAACGCAAAAATTTGTTTATAATTTAACATTATGTTTAACAAGTAAATACTTCTAAGATTAACGTTATCAAAATTTTTTTTAATTAACAAACTTATATTTTATTCATATTTTTTATTAAACGCACATTTTATTCACTGTATAGTACACATTATTTACTGTTTGACTGTTGGTCTGACTGTCTACCCTTTTGTTCGCCTATCTTCTGTTATATTGGATTTGGAAAAGTTCCCATGGAATACGTACAGATAAACAAGTGGTGCTGCCAAAATCACACATTAAAACTGTGTTTCAAAAATTTCATAGCAGCCTTTCTGGAGGACATTTTAATTTCAAAATAACACTGGCCAGAGTTCGAAAAAGATTTTACTGGATTAATTGTCCCGAGATGTAGAAGACTGATGTAAGAAATGTGATTTATGTAACGGTAGAAAAGGCTCTAGAACAAGAAGTCGTGGTAAAATAGCACAATGCCTTTCCGGAAAGTTTTCTGAACGACTTACAGTTGATATTCTCGGTCTACTTCCGATGACAGACAGAGGACAGAGAAAAAAAGTACTTAATGGTAGCAATAGATTATTTTTAAAATGGCCTAAAATTGTATTTATTTTTAATCAAGAAGCGACTAGTGCAGCAGAAGAATTCATAAAACACATAACAAGACATGGAGTTCCTTGTTCTTTCAGAGTAACATTCTGATCAAAAACGAAATTTTGAATCAGTCTCCATCCTTAATCAGAAGGACTGGTCGAAAGATATAATAGAATTGTTTGTCAACACCTTTCAACATTTGTCGCTGATAATCAAAAAGATCGGAATACTGTAATTCCTCTATTCCTGCGAGACTAAGGAAGTTATAAACGTGAAACAGTCGGTTATTCTCCATTGATGTAGATCACTAAAAGAAAAATGAAACTTCCTTGAAGATCTTATTTTTGGAAGATTGCCTCCCTGCGAAGGAGAATATTCATCCCTGACGTACATTGAAAATTTGAAAAAAAAAGTTGGAAAAAATCTACGAATGTTCTCGTAAAAGTTTCAAAAGAAGCTTCAAACTGATAAAGCGAAGACCAGGCTTGACATGCATGCTACACGTACACATTCTAAAGAGATGATCCAATCTGGTTATAAAATCACACACGTAAAAAAGAACTTTGTTCGAAACTTCAACGAAACTGGGAAGGCCCGTCCACCGTCCTGCAGAAAATAAAACATCTGATTTACCGCATCAAGTTTTCATATAGAAGTAAACCCAAGGTGCATATCGAGAGATTAGCTCCATATCCTGGAACTGATCCGCCTTGTTGGCTTTAACCGGTCCCTAATAGACCAGTTATTCGAGGCGAATAACTATAAAGGGGGTAGCAATGTTACGAAAGTTCCGTAAGATTTATAGCACATAGAAAAACTCCCTTGACGACAAAGAAGTAATAAAATTCTAGAATATTCAAGATGACCATAAATATCCTGAAAATGTCTAGTGAAATCTGGAACGTCAGAAAATGTGTATAAACAGATGTTGCTGACAGTTTGAAACAGTTGTAATTGAGTTTTTGGTTTATAGTTGTCATTCTGTTACAAGTATTGTAAACAAGTTGTTTAATAAAGTTATTTTAAAGAAGTGTAACAATATTTTGTTATAGTCGATACAATGGAATCGGCCCAATATTTAAGCGGCCATTAATAGGCAATTGATACACTGAGCCATTGATATGCATAACGAACCATCTTCCAATGGCACTATAGCCAAAATTAAGACCTGGTATCCTGCAATTTTTAAGTTCAAAATTGGTGACACTGCGCCACTAGCCTCCAAGTTCTGACGCCCATGAAGTTTTGTGTGCTTTATTATACTTGAATTTGCTCTTATATGCTCTCTCTATATTTCTGTGGTCTTCAATCTGCGGGACGTGTTCTTAATGTCATCATTGTAGTGATTAATTTGTTAGGAAGGTTGGTACTTCCGACCTTTGGTGGTCTGATGACATATTCAAGAGCAAGCGTGGACAGTGGCTAAAGTCTAGAGGTCTTTTACACTAAATAGTGCAAGAAGCACCAAGTCAATTGGCTGCAGTACGATCGGTGTAAAACAGATAGCTCCCGATAGAAGGAGCGGTGCGATAATTTTGACATTATGGCTTCTTCATATGACTTAAGTCCAGAGGCTGGTCATTTTCTTGTATTCCTAACAGAACTTTGAATAAGTTCTCCAAACTGTTTTTACTTCTGGTGGTTCGCTAGGTATCTATCTTTGTTGGCTTCTACACAAACTTGTTCGTTAGTTACGTCCTCCTAAATTTCGAGGATGTTTATATGGTTCTCTTAAACCGTTACTTTGAAGTTTCTGTTTCATTTTATTAGTTTCGAATTTTCTAATTTCTGTTCTGCACACCTTATGCGCTCTATGTCGTGAACTCTCAAAAGTGATCCTTCTTTCTCTAGCTCTCTTCCATATATGTGTTTCCTTCCACCCTTCCATAGTTTCGTTCTTGTATGGTTCCTTTAAATTCTTCATTCTACTATTCCGCCCTTTTCTTGTGTTTCTTTTTACACATGATGTTTGTTGCTGTGTTTAATACTTTGTCTTTAATTCCAAGATCTTCGTAGTCTATATTATCTGTGTTTAGCCTGTTTAAGTTATATTTGTGTCAGAGTTCTGCTTAGCATTTTGTTAGCAGAGTTTTAGACATCTACCTGTTCTGTTGTTTAATCCTACGTGTTTATGTTTCTCGAGATTTGACACGTATATTTTAACTTTACCAATAACTGATCAGATCCACAACATGCTTCTCTTCGAATTTTTACATCTAGGATGGTTACGGCGGTCAAAAGACAAAAAAGTTAACACAGGCAAGAGCTACAAGAAACAGACGCACAGTTGAATTAGGGGAAGATATTGAAATTGTAGAAAGTTTCACATATTTGGTAGTTGCATTAAGCACGGATGGAACCAGACATTCATAGAAGCATAGTAAAGGGAAAGAAAGCTTATTTTAAAAACTAAAGTGTGTGTAAAACCCACACTGGATATCGGAAATCAGGGTCTAAAAAACTATTATCAGACCAATAAAACGCTATGGATGCGAGATATGGGCAATGACAAAAAATACAAGCTGAGAAAGCGGGAAGTTTTTAAAAGAAAAGTCTCAAGGAAGATATTTGGACTTAATAACGAGAAAGAAGTATGGAGATTCAGATAAAATCATGAACTTTGCCAACTGTTAAAGGCGGCATCTATCGCTTTAGAGACTTCAACGGTCTGGGCATATACTGAGAATGGAGGTCGAAAAGACCCCTAAATAGTAAAATGCTGGACGCAAGACCACAAAGTAGGCCACGGAACAACTGGGAGAATGAAGTGGTAGAGGACGCGCAAAATATGCTAGACGTGGAAACTTGGAGAAGATATATGCGGCACCGGCAAGGTTAGAGGCCAAGGCTCGATTTGAGCTGTAGTTCTATTGAAGGGAGATGGTTAGGCGACCGCTGAATTTATTTATCAAAACGTGATTCCATATTTCATTATTTATATACAGGTGTGCAACCTCACAGCATCTATGTTCGTAAATCACCCTCGTCTATACCAGTTGCTCTGAGTTTTCTTCTAGTTTCTGGTCTTAGGCGCAGTCAAAAGCTTTATGATAGTCTATGTATATTCCCATGTTCATTACCCGGGCTCTCTATGTAAGTACATTGAGCGAGATTAGCTTTGTACAAGTTTAAAATCCGTTTATGAAGCCGAATTGTTTGTCGTCGACTTGCTGTTCTCATTTACTGTATATACGGGTGAATTTATATTAGATGCGCTATTGTCAGCCCAGTGACGTAATTATTTGCTTACACAAACAACAATAAACGGATACATAATCGTGCAAATTGCATAGATCCGGCATAGTATTTTATTTATAATAGAGACATTCTGTTAACACAAGTCAAGGTTATTCTTTATAGTTATGTAAATGGTGATGTCATGGTAGTTTATCAGATGCACACATGAAAATGAAGATAGATTTTTGTTCATTTTCAAATAATTTAAATGATGTAATAATTTTAAAAGAACAAACTTAATTATATTTTGTATTTTTTCGATAGTGACCAGCGATGACTGACATCATTATTCTATACATCTTCATATTTGCCTTGATTAGATGTAGTTAGACGAGTGATACATCCTCGTACATATTTTCTGAAGACAACATATATTCCTTCGAGAAATTTCGTAGTTTTTTTGGTCTTACTACCTTAGATCTTGCCATGAAAAGTTATAACAGGTTGTACTTTTTATTTTTCATATTTATTTTTGTATTTATTTAGGATGAACTAACTACTTTCCTTTTTTTCCATTCCTTGGGCGACTTCAGTTTTCGTTGTATTTTTGATCCATGATATTCAGAGCATTGTTCAATAATACCTCGATTAAAATGCTTTATTTTTTCTAACATTTCGTTCGTCGTCCAAGCATTCACACCGTACAAAACAGGTAGCATGTGAGTACCTACTTTAGTTCGTAAAAGCAATCTAGTTTATGACAGCGTAGTAATTATAGCATTTTGCAGGACATATATCTTGCTTTCTCGATGCGAACTTTTACTTCCATTGAGGGGTCACAAGTTTCATTTAGATTGCATCCCAGGTTGTTATTTTTGGTCATTCGTTTTTAGCAATTTAGTTCTTCTAGGCCATATATTTGGCCAATTTAATACAACAAAGCGATAGCAGCTTTTTGCTAAAAGATTTATTCTTTACACATTTCGCATAGCCCAGAGGTAGAAAACGATGTGATTATATCGTTTTCGTTCAAGGCCGCCAAAGTAGGTGGCGCCTCTGCTCGCAAACCACTGCAGTGGTGAAGCTTTAGGAGACATTCGTTCTACTTTCCGTGTTTGAATTTGTATCAGCCCAAGTGTCTGACGATGGCTGGGATAGGCCGAAATGATCATAACACTTTAGTGATACCGATTCGAGCACGGGAAGTTTAACGAATTTGTCCTCCTAGGCCATATATTTG